ATGTTTTTGTTATGTTTGAAGCATGTTTTATGATGTTTGATGTTATGTATAATCCTTATTTTGAGTGTATATGCATGTAAGTTGTAGACTAAGTCCAAGGGTGACCAACCCTCAGCAATTATTTATTGATATATGACGTAGTAATGAACTTAAGTAAAATAGAGAAATGAAGGGATAAATAATACGATAAGATACAGATAGTGAGTTCAGATTATAGTAAATAACGAGTTTAGGTCATAACGACTAATAAGAAAAGTAAATCCATAATGAGAAATATTGAAATGAGATGGGAAGTATGAAAAGAGAAAATGAAAAGAGAAAGAAGGAACACGATAAGGACAAGTATGGATAGTTCAGAGATACATTGAGAGTGTGGAAGATGGAGAGGCGGTTGAGAAATATTGGAAAAATGAGGATGGTGGATGTTTGTTTTGAATTACGCATAACAAATGAGAGTAAGAGCACCACAAGCCTGATACTTGTTTCCTGACTTAAACTCCTGACCATGCTTTTGCTAAAAAGGGTTAGGTCAGCAACATATCCATGTAGCTGTGGCTATCCAGCAACTATCTATGCTAAGAAAGACCTCGAGGGATCCTAGGGACAGTGAAAGTGTGAAATGAGAACTTTGAGGGTAATAGAAAGAAAATGTAATAAACTGGGTAATTAGTGATTGTTGTGTGTATATGAACAAATTGATTATTGTATTACCCTTACTTGTTGTACTTGTACTGTTTGATATAATTGTGAATGTACGCTTGCTAATAAGAATAGAGATTCATCCTTACATAAACCTTTCAAGGAACTAGGATGATAGCACCTAGAGAGAGCATTAGGCTCATAGATAGCTTTGTACGGTATAGGTTAAAATATGTATTTAACGAGTATTATAGATTTTGCTATTTTAAGTTGGCCTTACATGTTGATAATATACTTCACAACATTATTATGCTAGAAATGGAACTATCCTATAGTGTATCTTTTAATTTCCCTATAAACAACAGAATCCACCATATCCTGTGTATGTACCTCTATCAAGGCACAGTAAACTCCAGCAGTTGTGACCTACCTGTTCACATATCATAATCACGATCATCTCGAAAGACCAACTCAATAGACTTTTGAGCAAATTACTGGTAGACATGTCACTACGGATTCAAGCGATCGTTATCTCGGATCGGATGATAATCTCGATTCTGAAAAACTTGCGACAATAGAGAGATGGCATGGGGACGACTAGTATCTTTTTCAGTCTTTTTGATGGATAGAATACTTATTAGGACTCGTTATATTTTGTATTTTGTAAATGTTATAAATGAGTCCTAATGTATTTTGATGGACATTTTGCTAATGTCAACCTCTTGTAAATCTTTAGAACAATATATATATATATATATATATATATATATATATATATATATGCTATTTCACATTTCCTTTTTAATTTGTCTATGCCCATTTCTTACTATTTAAATTTTATGAGTTGGTTAAAGTATTACTAAATGTTTCAAAATTTTCACACCTTGTATTTGACTTGCAATGAATTTAATCTAAATATTCCCTTCTAAACTTCGAAATTATTTTCTTACCATATTAAATAAAATAAGGATGTTACACTTAATCTTGAAACACTTTACTCTATGCAATGTTCACATAATGGATGAGGAGTTGAAAGAAAGAGTATTATGTGTAAAAATGATGAAAGTGTGAATAGTTATAGAAATATACTAGAGGTGTAGAATATGAAGCTGGGTGTGAAAATAATAATTAATATTTTACAAGAAAATAAAATATATTAAATAATTATTTTGATGCAGATAAGTTTGATTCTTATTTATACATATTTATAAGTGTAACAAAGAAATTAAAGTCACCTAGTGATATCATAAAATTAGTTAGTAAATGAAATGTTATAAAATTATAAAAAGACATTTTTAAAAGGTAAATTTTGTTTTAAAGTATACTAAGTAGTGCATGCATATTGTCTAATTGTAAACCATCTTAAAAAATGAAAAAAAAAATCACATATATATATTACTAATCATTATAAAGGTTAAAATTCACTTTTTTTTTTATCCAAAGCAATGAATATTTTTATCCACACTTCATTGCAAATTATTATATTTTTAGGGGATTTAATTTTAAAATAATTATATTTTTTTAATTTAATTTTTAATGTATTTTTTACTTTCTTTTATCCTATTTAACATATTACTTAATTACTCTAGTTTCTTTTTTTTCCTCTTTTTTATTTTTATATGATATTTCTAAATAATCTATCAATTTTGATTCACCTAAATAATTGGAAGTTAACAATCTTTGTAATTACCACATTTTTTAATACTTTCTTTATTATCTTTCAACGAGTACACTTATTTTTATTTTTTCAGAATATTCAATTTGTTGAAATATAATTTGATGATCTATCAAAACTTGCTAAACTTATATTAACATTCTGTTTTTCACTTAAAGTTTTTCATTTTATTTTATTTTACATGTATCAAAATTTAACCTCTTTCTTTTTACTCTAATTTATCACTGACCACCTCTATTACAAGTGTTTAACCAGGTATGTAATACTACATGAAAAATATAAAAATAGCCAAAAAAATTTAACCTTGTTGCAATGCTAGCACTATTGTGGTCATACAAGAGTGGATTTATCGTTGCTAAAATATTGCTTGATGATTGTTATGCTTAGTTTCATAAAACAAACTTCATAAGTAGAACAATCATTTTAATGTGTATAGAAAAATTTTGTTCCCATAAAAATTGACAATAAAAAGGAATAATTGGCATAAAATAAAAAGAACGCAATTCAATGAACATTGTTTACAGTTTTTATGTCACTTAACCAATGAAAAGAACTTTAGTAAAAATATTCAAAAATGTAAAAATTGAATAATGTGAAATCATTATAAAATTTAGAAAAAGATTTCAAAATTATAAGAACAAAGTTGAAAATTATAGTAATGTAGAATAAAGGAAAAAATTGAGGATGAAATCACAATAATAAATGTGGTTAGAGTGTCACGATCAGAAACGGATTTGAAGGGTTTAGGGTTTGGGAAACTCATTTTCTCTTTCCTCTCTTCAAAATCTCTTCGATTCTCTTGACTTAAAACCTTATTTTACCGATTAAATTGCCTCCAAAGCCATTCAGAGTTAGATTGAAGGTTGAAATCGTGTTGGGAACGCTGGAGGTAAGTTTTAATGGTTAGGGTTTTGGTTTCTCACCCCTATTATCTGCTTTCTTCGTTTTCCTTGATTCTCATGGGATTCTTCTGTGTATTTAGGATAAAATTCGTGTGGGGAAACACTTCCTTGGTTGACTTCGTGTGTGTTGGTAGAATTGATGAGATTGTGGTGGAAAGGTTGAATAGAATATAGTGTAATGAATGTTGAATAGTGTGTATGCTGGAATATTGATGAATGTGGATTATGTTGAAATGTTATGTGTATGGAATAGTTGTGCGTTAAATGTAACGCGAATAAATGTGGGCATCTGTGGTGTGTGCTATAAATGAATGTGGGCTTGTGTGCCGTGTGTTATGAATGAATGTGAGCCTATGTGCCGTGTCTTGTGAATGAATAGTGTATATAGCTGAAATGTGTGTGAAAGGGCATGTTAAATGCGGTTGTGAATATGTTATGAATGGTATACACTGGAGATGTGGAAGATGGGGATGGTAGAAACACCTTAGGAAAGAGAGAGTGGTGGTGACACCAACAGTGAGCATGGGTACACCACAGGCCACACACTCTCCTCCTGACTAAACCTCTAACCAACACCTTTGTCGAGTGACTCGTGACCGTCTACGTGGTATCCGTGAGGCAGGGATAACTGGCGTATGAAATTGTGATCACAGTGCCACAGTAAGCATGGCTATATGCAGTGAGCACACGTGTGTGTGAAACGTTGTTGGTGTAGTGAGTGCACCGATTGTAAATTAAAAAGGAATGTATAATGAGTGTTGTTTGTGATTGTTAATACTTGAGTAGAATATGTTAGAATACGTATGGGTGTGCAAGATGAGTCTCTATGTTTGTGTGTGTATTGAATAGTGTAGAGTACGCACCCTTACATTTATTTTTCAAGTGATCAAGATTATTAGCACCGGGATCAATGAAGGGATGGATGAAACTGCTATAGAATTAGAAATTTATTTGAACTCTGATGTAATTGAATTAATCCTGTAGCAATGATTTGATGCAAGTTGTAACTCATCTTTATTTTGAAATATTTTAATAAACTATATATGAGAAAATTCATTTTAAATGAAATTTTATTTTTTCATATTTTGTAAAATTTAATATTTAAAATTAAATTTAAGGTGTTACATTTCTAACTTAATTTTAACGATAAATCAAATATAAAATGTAAAAAATGGTGGAAACACGAGATATCTTGGTTTCAAACTTAATTGTGGGAAAATTTGCAAAACTTTCTAACTAAATATTGACCATTTGAGAAGAAAATACGACAAGGAAGGGATAGTTTTTATTACACAAAATTTATATATAAATAAGCTTAAGAATAAGAGCATTCGTCCATCATTACAAGTTTTTTTCACTCTTTAAAGGTAAAACAAGTTCATTTCTAAGGATGTGAAAGCGAGTTGACTTATCTTAACCTGCTCTGCTCTGTCTTGCCTCGTAAAAAATTTCTCATAAACAAATTGGCTCGTCTTGTTCTATTTTAAAAAATAGGTTAAATTTATTAGTTTAGCCTGTTTAAAGATAGATTAGTAGTCTAACAAGCTAGTCACCAAAACAAAAACAAAAAAAAGTTTTTTTATCAATTTATGCAAGTATATAATGCTTTTGCGGCAAATTTGATAATCATTTTTGCAATTGAATCTAAATCTCACTTCACGTTTATTTGTAAAACATAATATTTCCGTCAGCAAATGAATTGTGACGAGTGATGCTATGACAAAACATTTTCGTTACTGTGGCAAACAAAATTTATGACGGAATTTAACAAAAATGTGCAATGAAATTGGTCGTGCCAATATTTAATTTGTATATATATAATCATGCTTGGTGCATTGACCGTGTGACGTGTGTATCTATGAAAGTGAGGGCCAAACTTTTATCTAGATGATGGAATATTCTTCCTAGCATGCACTATTTTTTCTTTTCTCTTGACTATGGATTACCCTTTTACAAGTTTGCACCACTCACTATGCATTGAGTGATACCTACTCCTTTATGACCGATGACTTGGGCACCCAAAGACCTTATCCTAAAACGACTAATCCATTGAATAAGTGAACTTTAAGGTCTAATTCTACTAAATTGGGGTTCATGACACCGGAATTAAAATTCAAATTGAAAACCAATTAGCATGTATACGCCACGTGTCAAAGATGCATTACATCTGAGAGACTACACAATGAACACTTGACCGGGTCTAAGAAAACAAATTAGAAAATTACACAAAAGACACCCTGGTGGAAAGATCCAAATCAAAACAACTTAATTAAGAAAATTTATTTTCCAAAATCGCACCATAATTTTCCCATTGGCTAGCCAACTGAGATAGGGTCTGTGTTGAAGAACCATCTTTCAGTGCATTAGCAGCAGAATCTTTTAGCTTCCTCATTCTTTCACGCATTCCTTTACCTTCTTCTCCTTCCATAAGACACTTCATGACCTTAGCGATTTCCTCCTTTTCCACTATGCCATCTTCGTTAACCTTTGGCCTTAATGCTACTTTAAGTCCATCCGTTAACATCACTGCATTCATCCTTTGTTCAGCAAAGAGTGGCCATGTTATTAGTGGCACTCCCTCTTGCACACTCTCCAGAATCGAATTCCAACCACAATGGCATAGGAACCCACCCACTGATTTATGACTAAGGACTTGAACTTGAGGTGCCCACAAAGGCACAACCAAGCCTTGCTCTTTAGTCCTTTCCAAAAACCCATTTGGTAGGAACTGCAAAGGGTCCTCATTTACAGTCTCAAGGTAAGCAGCACTAACTGAATTACTTGGTGCTCTCAAAACCCACAAGAACCTTTGACCACTCAATTCCAAACCCAAAGCTAGTTCATTGGTTTGGTCTTGAGAGAGTGTTCCACCACTTCCAAAAGAAACATACAACACTGAACTAGGTGGCTGGTTGTCCAACCATCGTAAACACTCATCAGCATCCTTGTTTGACCCTTTCTGTGTAATGGGTCCCACAGGGTAAACTTTGATCTTGTTATTTTCTTCCTCTTCCAATGCTCTTATAGCACTTGATTCCATTTCTAGGAAGCTATTGATCAATATTCCATCAGCTAAAAGCATTCCTTTGGCACGTTCAAGAAAAAGTTTGTAAGTTTCGCTCGATCGATCTTGGGTTGGAGCTGGAAGATCACTCCCCTGTAGTGGAACACAACCTGGTAACGCTATAGGTTCTTTTAAGTCTTTGTACTCACCTGAAATTTGCTCATCTAGTTTTGGCATTTGTGAAAACAGCGACAGTACCATAGCTGCACCAGGGAAGTAAATGTAGGACAAAGCATTGAACTCCTTTGCAAAATCCAATGCTTGAAATGCAAAAACATCTACCATCAAAGCAGTTAAAGGGGCTTTAGAGGACAAGGATTTTAGGACCTCGTGTATTGATGGCAGCGAGAAAGTAATAGTGAGTTGGATTAGGACCCCAGGGTATGCTCCTTGGGGTAATTGGTCTTTGTTAATTGGAGGAAGGAAGATGAAGTCTATGTTTGAAGGAAGGGTTTTAACGTAGGCTTTGGAGGAATCTGGGGGTGACCCAAGTGAGGGAATGATGCAAGTGACATGAAAATTTGGGTGATGCTGCACAAGTCGCTTGCTAAACTCAACTATTGGGACTAGGTGGCTAAAACCAGGACTCGGAACAATAGCTATGTGAGTTGCTTTTGCCATGGAATCACTAGTGTGGATTATAGATGTTGCCTGTTTATGAAGCTGGGTTTAAGACACAACTGATTTATATAGTAACCCATTCGCTAGTTGGATGCAACAGGGGATGTATAAGAGGAAAAACTTGTTTTCCCTTTGTTCTTTTCTCATAACTTTCAAAGAGAAGTTTCGTCATGACGTAATTGCTTATGCAGCAAATTAAAATCGCATGTACGATTTTCCATTTGTTTTGTCCCTTCTTTTAACCTTTGCTTGAAGTGGCATCTTCCCAACTCATAGCGGGTTATTCGTTGCTTTTTCATTCGAATGCTTTGATTCTTCATCAGCCATTTATAATTTAGAAAATGTTTTGCCATAGAAATTGGAAAACAAAATAGTTGCATGTATTTTTTAAGGTATATTTTTTTGTGATGTATGCATATATTATTATTATTACTATTATATATAGAGCATCAAACATCCTTTGATTTTTTAATAGTGAAGTAACGGACTTTAAATTTGAAGGCCGGATGACTCGTCAGCTTTCAATTCAATTTTTTAAACCCATTTCGTCTTTTATTTTGTTTCATGTGTGTTCTCTTTTATTTTTCGACTAAAACTAATTCGAAATCTAGAAACATAACGTTACGCAATTTTATAGTTAGAATATCCTTTTACATTTGAAATACTTATTTATAATTTATATTAGGAAAAACAAGTTTAATAAATTAATATAATTTACTCAACTAAATTTTTTATAGTTTTATTTTAGTTGATTATTTTAACGTACAATATAATATTTACATATAATTTTAATTATTATGGGTTTCACCCTAATTTTAATCATTACGGGAGATGTTGTTATTTTACTGTATTTGCAATTATTCTGTTAAGTTTTGAAATAAAAAATATAGAGGAGAAGGAAGATTTAGAAGTAGATGTAAATAAAAAAATTATTCAAACATGATTATATAAAATTAGAATATCAAAGACAATTATAATGTAGTCATAGACTTTCTCGAAGACATACTCTTTAGAAAAAAAGTTATCATACTTGCTCTAAATTTTGTAAGAACTAATAAATTTAATTTTTTTTTTGTAAATCACTCTCTCAATCATAACTTTCAATTAGACAAGTTGAGGAGCAGCTCACACAACTACTAAGAAGATCTAGCAAAATATACAAAGTACTAATCCTTATTTCCTCCTATTATGGACTTTTAAGCTGGAGGCCTACACTTTAATTCACACTAAGTATCTCATCTGGATCGTGAATTAACCCGTTTTTATTAAAAATAAAATAATAATTTATTATTAGATAATTCTAATATTTTCTCATTTGGAAAAAATCAATAGCATAATTTTAATTAAAATAAAATAAAAATAGTTTTCAAAATGACTCGCAAACGAATAATTTTATAATGTGACTATATTTTAGAAAACACATGATCCATTATGCAATATCTGAAGACAACTTTATCCAATCAAAACCAAATAATATTGAATGCCTTAAAGTCATAGAATTACATATTACTTTGAAAAATTATCATGTCTCAGCTCTAAATGACATTGATCACCAATATAGTGATCTCAATGTCGAGATCAAAATTTGATTATGATACCTTAACTCCAAATGATAACAATTACCGACATAGTGATCTTAACAAAATCGAGTACAAAATTACAAATATGCCTAAACTTAAATATAGTTTTAGTCTATAGTAACACAATAACTCTAACAACACTAAATTTTAAATTTAACAATTGATATAATAAATATGTATTTATATACAAAAATATATGATAAAAGATTATCCATTATTCAAAATAAAGAATACATGTCAATTAAACATAAAAGTGTTCAAAATGAGAGGCCTAACATGATAAGAAAATGACATAACAAATAAACTTCCACTAACTAAAAACATCAAAGGAACTTACTATGCCCATGTTCTCAACATATCTTTTAAAGACAATAGGCCTAAGTCCTTTGGTCAAGGGATAAGCTAATATGAATATATGTCAATATGATCTACCATTATAAAACTGTTATTCATAAGACCTCTAACATTCAAATATTTCAATTATAAATGTTTGGATCCATTAGAAGTCTTTTTACTCCTTGTATAAAACACTGCATTATTGTTATCATAGAAAATTCTCAATGGCCTAGCAATGAAGTTCGCAATATGAAATCTTATCACTAGATTTCTCAACCAAATAACATGAGTAGCAGCAACAAAACAAGCAATGAACTTTGTCTGAATAGTAGAAGAGACAACAAGAGTTTGTTTCTTACTCTAGGATATGACACCTCCAGTCAACATGAAGATATATCTTAAAGTCAATTTTCAATCATCATGGCACCCATTAAGATATGAATCGATGTACCTCACAATCTTCAAGTTATTAACTCTTCTATACACAAGCATGTGCCTTTTTATTTTCTATAAGTACTTTATTACTTTATTAGCAATTATCCAATGATTATTCCTAGGATTTGATTGGTATATACTTAAAACATTGACTATGAAAGCAATGTCAAGCCTAGTGTATACCTAAGTATACACAAAACTTCCAAAAGCATTCCCAAAAGGTTTGTCATGCATTTTCATGCGCTCAATCTCATTCTTGGGACATTGATCTTTGTTCATCTTATCCCCTTTGACAACTGGAACATCTCTGGGTTTACAATTTTAGATATTGAATCTCTGCAAGACTCTATCAATGTAAGCTTTTTGAGATAACTCAATTGTATAATATGATCTATCTTTATGAATCTCAATCCCTAATGTGACGCTCTTAATTTATAAATTATTTTTTCATAATTTATAAATTATTTATAATTTTAAGTAAATTATTAATTAAATCTTACTTAATTGTAATGTGGGAAAAACTTACCAATGTTTTAAATTATTAGTTTCTTGTCAATCATTCTATGAAAGTTTAACAATACTCAAAATAATGAAATTTAAAATATAATTTAACATTTTTCATCATAACATAACTTGCAAAATAAAAATAAAATTTTGAATAATAGTAAATAATTAACATATTTGGTATTACTTAAATACATGAGTTCAACATCCACTTATGATAAGCAAAATACATTAGGACTAAAATTAAATAATTACAAGGTCAAAATATTTCAAGTCCTAATAAGCATATCATTTCCACACCAAAATCCTGAGAATGTGATCCTAGTCTAAATGAATTAATCTTCACTTCCTGAAAATATAAGTAAGGATGAATCTTCTCATTAACGCTAAAATAGAACTGAATAATTGATTTAATAATTACACAACACATCAAATAGAATGATAATCATATGAGCAATATTATAATACATACACTAAAATCATACCATTCAATATGTATACACTATTATCATAATCAATCATTATCCCTATTATCCATTGAGGTCTTTCATATGTGTAGATAGTCGTCAGTAAGCCATCATAACACGGATACAAAGTGTGTAAACTCAACTCCTTTGCAAAAATATAGTTAGGAAATAAGTGTGTAACCTGTGATGCTTTCGCTCTCATAATCACGTACAGCCACAAATAACATTTACCACACTATATTTCCCCAGATTTTCAAAATTAGCTCCATTTTTTACACTCTCAGTGTATTGTTGTAATTATCCACACTAATCTTTTTATAGTGGAATTTCTCCACTCTTATCATACATTAATCAAATCATGCCAAAGGTCAAACACCTCCAAACTCAGTTCAAATCAAATATTTTTTATAAAACACATGCCAATCATTTAAGAGACAATAAAACATTTATTGAGTTCATCAAGTTAAACAAATAACCAAATCTCATTCTTCCTTTAACTTTCTCTAAAACAAATGAAAATAAAGGTGTTACACCTAACACAAAAGAAGCAAAAAAATAGAAGCTAACAGTATATCATCTATCTATAAACACAAGAAAGACAAATTTTCTCCCACTGATCTTGAAGTCGCCACTTCATTAAATTTCAAGTACCACAAAAGTTTGTTTCAAGCCATAAAATGACCATTTTAATTTCCAAACTAGATTTGTGTTACTTTCAATATAGAAATCCTCAGGCTACTACATGTATACTATCTCACTCAACTCACCATTCAAAAAAGCAGTCTTCACATCCATTTGATATAACTCTGAATCGAAGTAAGCAACTAATGCTATAATGATCTTGAAGGAATCCTTTGTTGAAACAATTGAAAAAGTTTAATTTAAGTTAATGTCTTCCTTTTGTGTGAAATCCTTTGCCACTAGTCTAACTTAAATCTTTCAATTTTACCTTTTGAGTCCTTTATTTTGAAATCATATTTATAACCAATTGTCTTACAATTCTTAAGAAACTCAACAAGCTCATCATTAACTAATATGGACTACATTTCTTCATTCATTACATCCTTCTAAATTTCAGGTTATGGGCAAGATACAACTTCTCAATAGTTCTTTGGATCAATAATGTCTCAAATGTCATGTGCACCTTCATTGAGATAAACTATAAATTCATAACTAATAGCATTTTGTCTCTGTACCATCTTAATTTAATTTTCAACAAAAATGGGAATAATAAAATTTTTATTTAAATATAATTTCCCATCACAAAATTTCACCAAACATTTCAAAATAATAAGGGATTACAAGTTTATATCAATAACTGCTACAGGGCTAATTTTGTTACATCATGTCTTCTAAACATCATCACAATCACACCTAACATGTCATTCACATATATTTTCAATTATTCACATTATTCAACATCAATCAATGGCATATCTAAGCATTTCAACCACATACTCAATCATATCATGATCTTCAATCTCACACATGGCACGTATGCTCACATTCAATCACATTACACTTAAACATCAATTCCTCATCAAAACTTCATCACAATCAAATTAGTATTTCACACACATTATGCTCAATATTCATCACACTATAATCCACGCAATCTTTTCACCACAATCTCACTACAATCAAGTCACTTTCATTAATACACTCATATTCCAACATTCTAGTCATTCTCATTCACAA